GCCGGCCCTTATGTGAGTTGCAACCAGTCTTAGAGTGTCGTGTGATCATTCTAGGGTAACGGGCTCAGCTCCAATCACCCACAAATTCAACAGAACCAAAGTATTTGGATGGGCAGGAATCGTGTAGTTTGGCTGCAGTCGTGGTAAGCGAGATTCGCACAGCTTTATGGGGGGATTTCTGCGCATCCAACTGCGAGTACTCACGGTAAGGAAAAATTCGTTAAAGCGAATTTCCAAGACACACATAGGTTGTTCACTTTGCAAGAGAAGCTGCACTCTGCAAAGGAAGTTTCCCAGAGCTTAGTGAATGTGGTGAAAATTTCCTTTTGCTAAGAATACCCAATATTTTTGCTTGCACATAATTGGTTGAAGAAAGTCAGCAGAGCTTCAGGCCTATATGCCTTTAATAAATCAATCCCAATGCAACTGATGAGAGGGCAGAGATTACAAGAAGTTATAAGCTGACAAAATGTCTGGTAGGGTCAACAAGTATTTTTTTGAACTTATTGAACAGATATAACAAAAAGCTTGCAATGCACTTGCCCCTGCAGGAGCCGCTGCACTACTGATGGATTCTCTGTTCTGCCCATGCTGCTCGGTCCCCATTGAGACATCTTGGTTATGTGTAGAAGGCCACTCACACCTATATAACATTAGTATGACACCACTCTATAACAATATGTAGAAAATGACCAAGCAACTGGTAGTGGATTAAATGGATGTAATAAAGTAATGCAGTTAAGTAATGCACAAATCAAAGAGCAGACGATCAAACAGATTTCAGGATACTGTACTAGTGGGCTTCAAAAAATACCTGGCACCTAGGTGTCAGTGTTGGTTGTTTTTTGGTTGGGGCCCTTCTGTAGGTGGTGCACACCATAGCCGTCCCTTTAAGAGTGTACAGCAGATGGCTATTGGAGTTCTGAACCAGTAGCCATCTCTATTGCCTTAACTGTACCAGAACTGAGATAAGCACAGATGGTCAGCTCATGCCTCCTGGTGCACAGGAAACCGGTCCAGATCAATGAGCAGTCTAATGTCAGATCTCAGCAGCTCTGATAAGCATAGTACTCAGTCTCTTACCAGTGTAGCAACACTTCTCCTCAGTTCTGGTTTCAGTTCTCTGAAATACCTATTTGTGTCTCATTCCCCAGGCTCTCGCTCTCTCAGGCTCAGTCTCTCAGCTACGCAGTGCACAGACCCCAGCAACAGGTCTGCACTGTGCCTTTCCCTGTGCTGGCCTGCCTAAATCTCTGCAGATTTGTCCAAGAAAAACTCACTATCCTTTTCTGTTTGAAGGGATATTTTGGTGTCGTAATCACTTATAGTTTGCAGCCCCTTCCCTTGCACTGCACAGTGCTTCTCATAGACTACAGTTCCTAGTGTTCTTAGATGCGGGAAGGGGGGGGGGTGTCTGCACTAACAGTTATCCTTGCCTATGTGCATGGCAGTCTGGGTAATGAATTACAAAGCCTTATCCCTTTGTATTGTACTGTGCTCCTTGGGGATGCAGTGTGACACAAAAAAATGCATTTGAAAAGAAAAAATAGAAAAGCAATTATAAGGCAGATGTTTTCCTGGAAATAGTGGCAAATAGCCATTACTTGTTGAGGATGTAGCAACACCTTAATCCACAAGGAGCAATGAACACACTGAGATTTAATTTTTTTTTAAAATAAATAAGTAAATAAATAATAATTAAAATTGTATATATATATATATATATATATATATATATATATATATATATATATATATATATACAGTTGTGTTTCAAAACAATAGCAGTGTGTTGAAAAAAGTGAATAAAGCTCAAAATCCTTCTAATAGCTTTTATTTCCATACACACAAATGTATTGGGAACACTACACATTCTATTCCAAATCAAAACATGGAGAAAAATATATCAAATTTGTGTTGTTCCTCTAAACAAAATTGAAGAAAAGTGAATATTAGACTGTTCAAAATAAAGCAGTGTTTGTATTCTTTACAAACTCAAACATTCACTATATAAACTGAAAAATGTTTGAAGATTTTGCTTTCTTTTGAATCACTTATTTAATATTTAGTTGTATAAGCACTGTTTCTGAGAACTGCTGTACATCTGTGTTGCATGGAGTCAACCAACTTCTGGCACCTGTGAACAGGTATTCCAGCCCAGGATGATTGGACTACATTCCACAGTTCTTCTCTATTTCTTGGTTTTGCCTTAGAAACTGCATTTTTGATGTCACCCCACAAGTTTTCTATTGGATTAAGATCCGGGGATTGGGCTGGCCACTCCATAACGTCAATCTTGTTGGTCTGGAACCAAGATGTTGCACATTTATTGGTGTGTTGGGGTCGTTGTCTTGTTGGAACACCCATTTCAAGTGCATTTCCTCTTCAGCATAAGGCAGCATGACCTCTTCAAGTATTCTGATGTATTCAAACTGATCCATGATCCCTGGTATGCGATAAATAGGCCCAACACCGTAGTATGAGAAACATCCCCATATCATGATGCTTGCGCAACCATGCTTCACTGTCTTCACAGTGTACTGTGGCTTGAATTCAGTGTTTGGGGGTCATCTGACAAACTGTCTCCGGCCACTAGACCCAAAAAGAACAATCTTACTTTCATCAGTCCACAAAATGTTGCGCCATTTCTCTTTAGGCCAGTCAATGTGCTCTTTGGCAAATTGTAACCTCTTCAGCACGTCTTTTTTTCAACAGTGGGACTTTGCGGGGGCTTCTTGCAGATAGCTTGGCTTCACATAGGCGTCTTCTAATTGTAACAGTACTCACAGGTAACTTTAGACCTTCTTTGATCTTCCTGGAGCTGATTGTTGGCTGAGTCCTTGCCATTTTGGCTATTCTTCTATCCATTCGAATGGTAGTTTTTCGCTTTCTTCCACGTCTTTCAGGTTTTGGTTGACATTTTAAAGCATTTGCGATCATTTTAGCTGAGCAGCCTATCATTTTCTGCACTTCTTTATATGTTTTTTCCCTCTCCGATCAACTTTTTAATCAAGGTACGCTGTTCTTCTGAACAATGTCTGGAACGACCCATTTTCCTCCTCAGAATTTCAGGGAGAAATGCACTGTAACCAGCATGTACAACATTTGCTGCCTTCCTTCCTTAAATAAGGGCAATAATTGCCACCTGTTTTTCAAAGAATGAATGACCTCACTAATAGAACTCCACACTGCTATTATTTTGAACATGCCCCTTTCAATTAGTGATTCAATTACACAGAATCAGCAGCATGCATGTCATGACTGTTGGGTCTGGTGGATTTCTATTACTCTACTACACCTGCTAGTAAATTATTTGCCATGTAGAAATATCATTTCTACCAAAAACAATGATTGATCAGGTTAGTGATGTCTGACTGCTATTATTTTGAACACAACTGTATATATATATAAATACGTTTGTATGGGGGAAAGATAGAGGAGCGTAGGATGTAACAGTGCAGATGGGCACCATTTATATGCACATTCTACTGAACCAGACACAAAGAGGCTTTTTTTTAAATTCTTTATTTTAAACATTGTGCGAATAATTACAGTCCAATCATAAATTACGGTCTCCATTATAAAATCAAGCAAACATCGAATACCATTATTACAGACTATAGAACTGATAATGAGTTGACAAGTTAATGAGGTACAAATAAACAGACATTACACAAACACCACATTGGGTTCATTTTAGTGTTCAACATTTGCCAAAGTCAAGGTTTTTATCCCTGATTCAGAAGCCTGTATGAATAATTTGGGGCATAGCCATTTGCAATACACAGAACATTTTGAATGGTGGTGAAGTGTAGCACGCCTGCCTGTCATAAATCAGCAATATAATTATTTACCTTTTGTTAATATGTATAACTGACCAAATCCTTGTTGTAATATATTTCTCACTATGGCAGATTCTTTGCGATTCATTCATCTACAAGTGATTTCTTTCCTGCAGCATTAACATTTAAAAGATCCCATAACCAAAAACCTTTGTGGCTGTTGCTTGCTTGTAGCTGTCAGAAATAAAAGTAAGACTGGCCTGCCTGTGATTTCTATAAAGGTGCACTAATTATTTGTGAATCCACAGCAGTAAATGGTCATCTGTCATTTCATGTAATTATAAGTGACTGGAAGACAGGGAATCTTTCAGTCACATGATCTGTGATGGATACTTGGGGATAGATGCAACTGGTGCTAAAGCATTAATCAATTAGCAGAATGACAGAGGTCAGAGAAAGGGGAATACTAAGTACTTGAAGGGATTTTGCACTTCAGTGGAAAATTCTACAATAGCTGGTTATGACAGTAGTAAAGTTCCCACTGAACAGTGTAATAACAGGGTCTATTATGATTGTTTTTCTTTTTCGCAGGGGAAAAATCATCTACTACTCACTTTTAGTGACGGGTGAATTTCATTGGGTTCAATTCTCAGGCATGTTCAGCAAATATCTTCAAAAAGTAGAAAATTGAAAGCTTTATTATGAACCCCGTTGAAGTCAAGGGGAGACAAATCAGATCTCTCAATTTTCTTGGCTAATAGACAAGGGATTGTCAAACAAAAGACACTCAAATATAACAATGCACTATAACTGGTCTCCCATAGCTCACAGAACATGGAAATGCAATTATTTTAGTAAAAATAAACTGCTAAATACCTTTTCTCATAAACAGCCCTGTGACTTCTATCAGTGTCCAGCAGAGCACTGGTTAAAGCTTGTAGGAGGAGTTTTCATTCTCTCACTGTCCTATGAAACTGCAGGACCCCTGACCCTCTGTCTGGGCAATGCTGATTGGCCCTGTGCTGATCACATGAAATCTCCCAAGAAAAAAAAACCCTCTCTAGCAACACACACCAAACTGAGCATGTGCAGAGTGTCTCCACACCATATGACTTATCAGGAGATAAGAGGGGGACACTGGAAGAAGAGGAGGATCAATGAAGTCAGGATCAAACAGCATTTTTACACAATGCAGAAGACAACTCTCTAGTAATACAAACCAAACTAAGCATGTGCAGCTTGCCCCCAAGGCTCTGTTCCATCAGGAGATGAGTCAGGGACAGTGGAAGAAGGGGCAGATCAGAGAAGACAGGATTAAACATATCTTTTACACAATGCAGAGGATTAACCCCTTAAGTTCCGCAGTGAGTATAACAAGCATGCTTTACAGCATAGACGGACTGACTTTACTGTTGTAGGTTTAGTAACATTTTAAAGTGAAAAGTTGAAAAATGCAAAATTCATTTAAAAATATTGCTTGGGGGTGCCATAAATTTGGACTTGAAGCAATGCACCTGTAGCATGTACCACAGCAAATATTTATTGTCATATAACATTTTCCTGTTGGCTTGTTTTTTTTTTTTCATTTTTGTTAAAAAAACAGCATGTCCCCCCCCCTCCCCAAACAAAAAATGCATAAAAGACCCTTATTCTTGATGAGGTTCTGGAACAGATTTTGAAAGGGAACTTCATAATAAAATCTTTTGAATCCTCAGTCCAGTGCACCTGCTGCCATTTTTTTGCACCACAGTTCCTTTGTTTTCATGCATAGGACATAAACAAGGCTGGCTCAACTATGCACAAAATCATAAGAACTGGGGTGTAGGAAAATGGCAGCAGGTGCTCTGGACTGATGAATCAAAATTTGAAATATTTTGCTGTAGCAAAAGGCAATTTGCTTTGCTGGAGAGCGGTACAATAATGTGTGTCTGCAGGCAACAGTGAAGCATGGTGCAGGTTCCTTGAAAATTTGCGGCTGTATTTCTGTAAATGAAGCTGGAGATTCGATCAGGATTAATGGTGTCCCCAATGCAGAGAAATACAGGTAGATACTTATCCATAATGCCATACCATCAGGGAGGTGTGTGATTGGCGCCAAATGTATTCTGCGACAGGACAACGACCCCAAGCATACAGCCAATGTCATTGAGAACTATTTTCAGTGTAAAGAACAAAGAGTCCTGGAAGTGATAGTCTGGCTCCCACAGAACCCTGATTTCAACATCATCCAGTCTGTCTATCTGTCCCGCCGATCACCGCCACAGATGTGAGTCGCCGGGTCACAGCCGCTCCTAGCGGCTTTTTCCCGGCGATCGGCGGCAAACAGTGACAGACAGCACAGCTGCAGTAGCTGTGCTGTCTGTCACTTCCCTGTCAGCTCGAGGATGAGCTGATCGAGAAAGAACAGTTTCTCTTTCTCGATCAGCCTTGTCCCGCCTAGTACACATCCCCGCCCCCTAGTAAAACACTCCCCTCACTCCTATAACCCTTCCCTGCAAAATAAAGTTGACCCCTTCCTCCCCATTGCCATTAGTACAGTGTCAGTGTTTTTTTTTTTGCACTGATCACTGTATTAGTGTTTTTGGGGATGTCAGTGACCCCAAGTCAGTACCGCCCAATGTCAGAATGTCCGCCGCAGTCCCGCAGTCCCGCAGTCCCGCCATAAGTCACTGGGCGCTGCCATAAGTCCCTGATCGCCGCCATAATTCGCTGATTGCCGCCATTATTAGTATAAAAAAAACCCTAAAAATCCCAGTATCTTTCCCGCCATTTGTAAATGCTATAACTTTCACGTAAACCAATTAATTTACACGTATTGGGTTTTCATTTTATCAAAGACATGTCGCAGAATGCATTTTGGTAGAAATGTATGACTAAATTTGATTTTTGCATTTTTTTTTTACTGGACATGTTTTATAGCAAAAAGTCCAAAATATTGTTTTTTTTCCGCAAAATTGTCAGCCTTTTTTTTTATAGCACAAAAAATAAAAATCGCACAGGTGATCAAATACCACCGAAAGAAAGCTCAATTTGTGGAGGAAAAAAAGGATGTAAATTTCATTTATGTACCGTATTGCATGACCACGCAATTGTCTGTTAAACTAGCGCAGCGCTGTATAGCAGAAAAATGGTGTAAATTGCAGTATTTATATCATAGTTTGTAGACGCTATAACTTTCACACAAAGCAATCAATATACACTTATTGGGATTTTTTTTACCAAAAACATGTAGCAGAATATATTTTGGCCTAAATTTATCACCAACTTTGAGTTTACTATATATTTTTTATAGCTGAAAGTAAAAAATATTGTTTTTCTTCAAAATTTTTGACCTTTTTTTGTTTATAGCGTGAAAAATAAAAAGTGCACAGGTGATTAAATTACACTGAAAGAAAGCTTTATTTGTGTGAAAAAAAGACATAAATTTCGTTTGGGTGCAGCATTGCATGACCGCGCAATTATCAGTTGAATTAGTGCAGCGCCGAGTAGCAAAAAGAGGCCTGGTCATTAAGGGGGGTAAATCCTCTGGAGCTCAAGTGGTTAATCTCTGCTTTGAAATTTTATTATTATTTGGCAATATTACACTATTTGAGATTTCTTTCTCCATGCGAACGGTGGAGCCTATTCGGATGGTGAAGAATTCTATATAGTGGATGCTAAAGCGGGTTTAGGATCCCTTTAAAATTCCTTAAAGACTTCTTACTCACCAAGTTCTGGTGAGTGCATTTGATGTTGGTTTCTGCATGGGTGGAAGGTGGAAGTTTTTCTTTATATTTGAAGAATTTCTGGAATTTTTGATCTTTATTACACATGGACTTTTGGTGTTTTATAATAATATAATTAAGGATACTCACTATTAATTTATGCACTTTATATAATAATTTTTTATGAGTGGATTTAGAAATCTATTTTTGCGCTGTTTATTTATATTTCTTATTGTTTGTGTTTTTTTCACAATTTGCACAGCAGCAGTTTAGGTTTTGTAGTTTTTGGCGCAGGAATAAGTTTTATTATTCTAAAATATAAGGCAGGCACAGTTCACATAAGGGATTTACCACAAGGTTAGGGAAGTCCATCTTCAGTTGTTTGGCAGCTTCCAGCACACAAGCAGCACTCAGACATGGGTCTTCTCTACAAACTCCTAACACTCCACCCCCAGCACTAGGAACTTCCTGGCTTATGTGCTGCTTTCTGGAGGCTGCGTAACCCTGTTGTAATTGGGGTGCAGGTTCTTCCCCACTCAAATATCACTTTGAACTACCAAAATTCTGGGTCCCAAATAAGCAATTATTAATGTAGAGAGGACTGCAAGTCAGTCCTTTCTTTATGCTTGACTGTCCCGGAATCCCTCACCCTGCACGGGTAAGACCCCTGAGTACACCAAACATTTCCCTAAAAAGGGACCACAACCCAAACGTAAGTGACATATAGAGGGGGATTTACTAAAATAAGGGAACTCATGCATGGTAGCCAATCAGCTTCTAACTACAGCTTGTTTAGTTACGCTTTGCCAATAAAACCTGGAAGCTTATTGGTTTCTATGCAGAGCTGCACCAGATTTTGCGCCATGAGGTTTTAGTAAATTACCACCACAGCATCAGTCCAGGACTCATCTTCGGTGCCTGTACAATGTGTGTGTGTGTGTGTATATATATATATATATATATATATTTTAGCAAAGATACACTTCAAAAGTAATCTAGCGCATAAATGAATTAATAGTGCCGAAAAAACCCTTATAAAATATATAAATAATATAAAAATACAAATTAATAAAAATATAATTCAAAAGAAAAGTCAAAATGAATCAGTCCACAAAGCACAAAGTGTATCTTTGCCAAATTTGTACCATATTTTAAAGTGGTAGCGTACTGTTTATACGTAGAGGTGATATAGTAGTGATAAATATCACAGATCTACACATTTAGCGCAGTTTGATGGTCATATACTCATACACTTTCACGGTTTTCACATTGTACACACACGCATATATATATATATATATATATATATATATATATATATATATATATATTTTTTTTTTTTTTAAATAAAATATACCAGGTGGGTTATATCCCAGATTCTGGTTTTAACTTTACTATTTTTTATGCAATTAACATTTACCATTTTAGGGGAGTGCTTAACATGATTTGTTCACGGAACTGATAACACAGTAACCCACTTGGCTGCTCTGGATCCCATGGAAAAATTTCCCCACTTCCTTCCTATCCCACCACATGACTACTATTGTTTATTTTGTGGGAACATTTGTATAACAAAGCATATCTAAAACCAAAACTTATTTTTTTTCTAAAGTTTGGATAGAGTAGGAGAGAGTTAGTGTTTTTTCCATCTGCAAATGAAGATTCCCCTTCATTTCCTGTCCAGTAAACCCAACAGTCTTTCAAATGTGAGGGAAATTTCCTTTTAGACAGTTGTCAGAGAAACAAGTGTCTCCACTGAAGCATTTACCCTCTGTTCCTGTTCTGGTGGCAGCTCAAAATTTTGAATTTACCATCACTTTGGTTCTTGGTGACACTGGTGATCAGGGACAATAAGAGAGAGTGAATATCCATAATAGGGACCTAGACAATTAAAATCTGACAGAGGCTCTAACTCCTTACCACTCTATTAAAAATATAAAGGTTTTGCTTTTAGTTATACTTAAAGTGTTCCTAAACCCACAACAGTAAAATCAGTCTGTATATGCAGTAATTCATACTTGATATACTCACTGTGGAACCTAAGGGGTTAATCCTCTGCATTGTGTAAAAATGCTGTTTGATCCTGACTTCATTGATCCTCCCATTCTTCCAGTTCCCCACTCTTATCTCCTGATAAGACATATGGTCAGGGGTTCTGCATCCTCCTAGAGCAGAAAGGAAACCCCTTCTACAAGCTTTAACAAGTGCTCTGCCGAACACTGATAGAAGTCACAAGACTGCTCTAATTGCTGATGAGAAAAGGTATTTAGCAGTTTATATTTACTAAAATAATTGCACTTCCATGTTCTGTGTACTGTGGGAGACCAGATATAGTGAATGCAGGGTCCAGGGTTTAGTAACACTTTAAAGTGTAGGATTGGAAGCTATTGCTATCAGTATTTATACAAAACAAGCACAAGCTCTGTACTAATTCAGAGGTACATGGTCGAACAGCGGAAAGCTATGTCAATACATTCAGTGCTACAGATACCGCCTGTACATGGTCACAGAGGTTCACATTATGCTTCCCCTCCCCTCCAACCATTTTGTGGCTCCCTATTGAGCTTCAATTATCTAGTTTAACATATGCATTTGCACATAGTTGAATGTAAGAGATCCTACAGGACACTTGAGTATGCACAGTTGTGCTTGTAGTGTATGCCTGGGATCACCTTTTGAAAAAAAGAAGTTTATGGCATTTATCAAAGCTTTTTGACATTCAAAAGTT